TAAAGTGTCCCACCAGTCAAAAAATATAGACAAACATTATGTAGTATTTCACTTTTTATAGTTGACCAGGAGCACCATTACACTTAAGACTTAGGCAAGCTTACAGTTTAATATACAATTTAAGTTTTAATGTATATTTTATGGTTATGCAAAGAAAGATGTGCAAAGGAATAGAGTTAAGTTGCCATGAAATCCCTGACTCCTGTATGATTAACATCTTTACAATTAAGTTAAAACTTCTGAAACAAATTCTTAGGACATGCTATACAAATATAGAAAACCCAAAGACTAAAATGTTTCACCTTGGTTGTACAAGATAGCAGAGAATCATCAAGGAGGATTTCATCACACTCCTCAAAAAAGATCTCTGTACTAAAGCATCCAAAATCCTACCCCAAAATTGGCATTATATGGTCATTCTGGATGTGGCTGATGGACATTTGTACCATTTAGATCTACTGGGTTAAAATTCATGTGAACTAAAAGGACCAGCTGGCATATAATCATTTCTCCTCCCATGGAGTTTATAAGTGACTCCAGCTAATACATGAAAATCCTAACAGTGCACAATCCTAATAGATCTGGTTGTTTTTCTTGGAATTATGACTTCAGCTATTATCAAGTTACCAAAAAAACCTTTTAGCTTGGATGGCAGAAAACATATTATAAAGACAACATTAACTTTTGAAATAAATAAGACAACACAAGTGAGGATTACACAAAAAATTAACAAAATGAATATTTCTGTCTTGTTCCACATCCATAGCCTTTTTAAAGCTGACAAACCTTTTATATAACCTCATGTGTTGCTCAGATTTCCATACATTTGTCAGACAAAATCCCTTCTTAAAATGAGTGCTAATATTGTATCCTGCTCTGTTTGATCCTGTCAACCACTGCTCAGGGCACTGTAAGTCATAGACACACAAATCCATCAATTGTGACTCATTATTTTCATGGCTACCTTATGTTGTTCATAATGACTTCCAGTGTAATAGCACGTTTTTTCCCCCTCGAGAGAGATATTGAATACTGCTACAATTGCCAGAATTCAATCAAATCTACTCAAAACTACATTTATAGAACACTAATCTTGTCTGGTGTAATTATTCTTTTTGTATTAAACAGGAAGATAGAAAACACAACTAAAAGAAACCCTCTCATAGTTACAGACAGTTGAAGGCTATTTATATATTTTTCTCCCATCATGGAGAGGTAAGGTTGCCATTTCCTTATAATGGACCCATTAACAGTTTTATGATACACTGAGGCAGGATGTATCAAGTTCTACATCTCCAAGGACTAATAATGAAGATTAGATCACAAAAATGTATTTTTACAAAGGAAACAAGTGTACTTTAACTAATTTTCTCTAACTCAGCTGACTGCATTTTCACTCATATAAGAACTTTGTATCTTATTTATTTGTAAAGCTGAATATTAGCATTTAATTTGAACATGCTTTATGGAAATCATGATTCAGAAGTTCATTCTGAATATATACTCCATGACATAAAAGGAATGCAAAGATAAAAGATTATACACAATTCATTTAAAATAGATAGCAACGTATTTTGGAAGTAAACTATATTAGCTGGGTACTAATCATTAAAAGGACAATATTTAAGGGCAAAGATTACAACACTTTCACAAAACCAATATAATTAAAACAGTCTCTATGTTTCTCTTTCTCTCTCAACAAACTGCCTTCCATTCTAGCAAAACTTCCTATAGAGGTTCAAGACGCAGCTAACACTTAACAGCAGTTTAAAGAACCAAGACACAGACTACCTAGGGTGTGAATAAAGAGATGATTTAAAAATATTTAACCAATTTGAAGGGATTACAAAAACTGAAATTGCAAAAGTGGGCAATGAAGCACATATTACTTCCTTGTCAGGTATGGCGATGAGCATAGGATAAAATACCTGGCTAAATTGAGCAGGAGGCATATCTCGTGCTCCAGCCCATGTAGGCTCAAACTCCTGCTTAGTTCTTTGAATTTAGCTTCACTAACAAATTAACAAAAACCAAAAAGAAAAGCAAAATTATTTCATAATTCCATGCCTAACTATAAACAATTATCACTAAAGTTTAGTTAAAACTTTAACTAAAGACAAATTCTCTTAATAAGAATGCTATTATAAACTTTTCTGTATGAGATGCAAGTATATTTTACTAGGGATGTCAATGTGTAGCCTGGTCTTATCAGTTAATCCTGTTGACTACACACATTCCCCACCCCTTGCTGTCTCTGTATGAGAGGTAGCAAGGAGGGAGAGGTGAGAGCTGGTGCCCATGGGAAGCCAGCTTTAAGCACCCTCTGTCTGTGGCAGGCCCAAGCTTCACCATAGACAGAGGCTGTTCCTCAACAGCAGCCCCTGTCCATGGGGGCCCAAAGCCCCCCTCAGACAGAAGCTGCACTAACATCCCATGTGGCTGCTTGTACCCCCCATAGACAGGAGCTGCTGCTGCCATGGAGCAGCCTCTGTCTGCGGGAAGCTCAGCCCCAAGTTGATAGAGGCTGCTGCCACCCCACGATGCTGCCTCTGATAGAAAAGCAGGAGCACGGGGTGACAGGGGTCTCTTCAGGAGTGGGGCCAGGAGCATACTGGCTGCCGGCCTTACCACCGGGAATTATCAAATAGTTGTGTAACCACTAAACTTTAATGTAGTTACATGACTATTCAATTACGCGCTATGTAACATCCCTATATTTTACAAAATAAATCGAGTGATTTAAAAACATTACACCAGCCAAAATCTCTATTATAATAATAATATATGGATATACACCATCTCACAGAGCTGGAAGAGACCTTAGGATGTCATTGAGTCTAGTCCCCTGCCTGCACAGCAGGTCCAAGTACCATCCCTGACAGATTTGCCCAAGATCCCTAAATGGCCCCCTCAAGAATTCAACTCATAACCCTGGGTTTAGAGGGCCAATGCTCAAACAACTGAGCTATCCCTCCCCCCAAGGGATGGTTATTGTGATTTTAGTACCATATTTTCTTGGCTTTTTTAAAACAATGCACTTTCCTCAAAGGAGTGTGAAACACTCACACAAACAAATGAAAATGGATCTACCGAGGAAACAGTGAAATTGGCTATACAGAAAGGGCTATCAAATATATAAAATAAACAAACTTGAGAAAAAATTATTATTTTGCTTTCCTTCAGTTGTAGTAGTCCTACATACAACTTCCAACAGCAGTGGATTTAAAAAAAAATCAGTCATAAACATTATATTGAGTTGATTTTCCACACAAATATAATGTCAGAATGTCAGATTAAAAGCTGTTAAACTATTTTTGCTGGGAATTGGAAACAGAGGATGGATCACTTGATGATTAGTTATTCTGTTCATTCCCTCTGGGGAACCTCACACTGGCCACTGTCAGAAGACAGGATACTGGGCTAGATGCACCTTTGGTCAAACCCACTGTGTCTGTTCTTATTTTATTCTGATCGTATTCATTGGTCTTGAACAAAACTCCCAGCACAAGAGGATTGCTTTGCCTACACAAAGCCACATTTACTTCAATAGAGGTGATGAAGATGCCAAGTTCTATCCATGTACAGAATCAGTTCCTATTCCCAATTTGATAGTTCTTTTAAAAATTAGAATGCAATAATGTTATTTGAAAGGATGACTCAAACAACATGGGCTCAGGAAGTAACCAACACTGGGGGTTTTCTTTTCTGTTTTCCAGCAGTGTAAACCCACTCTGATGTTATCTGGTTTTCTTTGCTTTACTACTTGTATTGTAGCTCTTGCATTGTGACACTTTCAGGAAATAACAACCTTTGAGGAAGAACACGATCAACCTCAGATTATTTTGTAGGGATTGTTTCACCAGCCAAACCATTCCCACCAGTTTAAACAGCACTATAAAATATTGATACAAGCTACGAACTATAAAATGTTTTTACATAAAACTATGAAGTATTCACACTATCCACTCCAGTTTGGAAAGAACGATGTGCTGTCAAATTGGTGTGACCCAGGAGCAGAAATTCTGTGATTGCTAAACAGTGTTTCCTCTAAGATTTTCCATCTGTGAATGGAGTGAGTTTTCTCTTGTGCATCAATATTGATGTCATATGTGCTTGTTCAGATGTGTGCTACTGTGGCACCCATCAGTTACTAACAATATATATATTGTTAGAGCTAGCTGTGTAACAGGACAGAAAATGGGGCAGGAGCTAATACATCTGCACAGTAAGTGGGGATTTTTTCCATAATTTAAAATATATTTAAATTATATTTTAAATTGTTATGGAAGAAAGTCCCACTTACTGTGCAGATGCATTAGCTTCGGCCCCATCTTCTGCCCTGTTACACAGCCAGCACCCGTCTCCTCCTCCACCCCTACACTGTTCCCGTACCAGCCCCAACTCCTTGCAGCAGCAGCAGCTGCCCGCCAGTCCGACGGCCCCAATCCCAGGCAGCAGCAGCAGCAGCAGCCCACCAGTCCGATTGCCCCAACTTCTAGCAGCAGGAGCCGCCAGACACATGGCCCCAATCCCACGTGGGGGCAGCTGCCCACCTAGCAGCCTCAGCCCTGGCAGCAGCTGCCTCCCAACATGGCTTTGGCCCCAGCGGCAGCCAGAGCAGTCACCTGCCACCGCAGGAACGGTCATGGACGGGGCCCCGACCCTGTCCACCACACAGCCCCAGTCCTGCCAGCCCCCACACCCCTCACCTTCCAGGTCCAGGAAGGTGAGAGCTGCTGCACAGCTCTGCAAAGGAGGTGGGTGGGATCAGAATTTTTTGTACGCAGACACGCAGGAATCTTACAGGAAACACTGTTGTAGATTAAACAAAACTAATGCAAATCATCTAGACACTTGCAGAGAACATTGGGTTAAACAATTACAGCTCTCTCATCTCTTTGCTGGTAAATGTAGCCAGGAAAATACCTCTTATATGCTTGAAAGTAAGTTTTAGCCACAAGGTAAGGAAAAAAGTAGGTTCATAAACAAATGGCACTGACCTGTCTGTAAGTTCCTTCTAGCAAGGTGTCCAGGTGTTGGAGCGGAGCAGGGGTTTTGTCTTTGAATCGAATTAGTAATCGTCGTTCAATAGCTCTAAATTGTATGGCTCTTTCAGACAAAAGTTCTTCATATTTTTCAGCATTCATACGAAGCTATAATTTTTGGAGTTTCAAAAATTCAGATTAACAGTTTGATCCGGTAGGTGGATTTTTACCTTCAAAACACATTCAAAGTGAAAAGTCTTCCAAGAATTTTATTCTTGTTCTAAGAGTATTTAAAAATTCAAATAGCCATCTTTTACGGTTACAGTGATTACACACAGCTTCTATTGGTATGGTTAATTTCACATTCACCGTAAGATCTACCAATGGGGTTGCAATAATGCCAACTCTATCAAATTGAAAATAATTGTGGCCACAGCCATTTGTGATAAGGTACAAAAATCTCATTATGAGGTCTTATGACAGGAGTTAAATTTACTCCTCACCACTAGCATATGAGGACTTCTCCTTAGTTCAGTGTGCTGTGTCTGTGGTATATATGAATAATGTATTTAAATATAATATTCACTGCATAGAAAGAAGGATTATAACTGTCTGTGAACATGATTTAAAGTATTAAATGCTGCCTTCACTGAAATTAGATTTTTCTCTTTTTGGAAAACCTTCCATTCTCCCAAACATGCAAAGGTCAAGTATTGCAGCCACTATTCTTGAAATAACTTCAAAAACTTGTGAAGATGATATATCAAATATCCAGCCAATAAGAATTCATACAGTTATCTATATACAGGCAGTCCCCGACTTACGCGGATCCGATTTACGTCGGATCCGCATTTACGAACGGGGCTTTCTTGCCCCGGAGGTCGAGGTAGCGGATTGCTACCTGCGAGCTCCGGGGCGAGAAAGCCCCGTTCGTAAGCTGCTCCGGGGCCCCTGGTCTGCTGGAGACCGTCTTCTGAGGACCGGGGCACCGGGCGGGTTCCCGCGCTTCTGAGGCTTTGCCAGAGCAAA